TTTTTTCTGGAATCTGTAAACCAGTTTCCACGAAAACCAGATTCGGTCTCCCGTGGAAATAAGAGTCGAACTTGAACGAGATACGGAAAAAAAAAAATGAAAGTGACAATCTTGAAGATCACCTCGTAAATTTCAGGACTTATCAATTAAACCCCACTGATCAAAGACAATACCAATAGCCTATACTTAATTCTCAGCGATAAAAAAAATATTCAAAATAACAACAACAAAAAATATATAATATTGTTGTCAAATATAAGAAAAAAAAAAAAGTTCAAATATAAAATTTCCCAAAAAAAATTTTCAACCATCCATCCAATGAAAAATGAGACTTCCAGAATATCCCCCAAAAAAATGATAACACGTCAAACTCGTATTCCCAATGAAACGACAGATCACCTTCGCTAACAGAACACGTCCCCAAGAGCCAAAAACCCGAATACCCAAATCCCATAGAATTAAATCGAGGCTCATTAAAAAGAAAAAAAAATTATCCAACCTCATAAAACCCCATATCCCCACATAAACGTGAAAGACAAATACATGGGCAATTCGAATTCCAGTCCGAAATTTGAACCGCGAAACAGTATCGGCCAGCACGTAAGCGTTGCACGAAAAGCATGCAAGCGCGTATAACCATATAACAAATATACCTATACTATATATATAACTATACACGTATAGTTCCTATAATTCGTCAAGTCCAACTGCACACGCTATAGTCCGACTATAATAGCCACTTATGCATATACTACCTATATACGTATATCAACGCCGACAATAATTCCCTTACCCGCAGTCAGGTTGAGCCCCCGTGAACCCAGGCGCCACCTACAGCTGCATCGTGGAATTCAAACGTCAGAATATCCAGCGGTTCCCACCAAGTTACCAGAGTTCGCACAAACGGACCCTTCGCGGTAGACAGGAAAATTCAAAGACCAATGCAGCACAATATTCGCAGTTTAATGATTCGGCAAAGTCTCCCGAGGCCATCTCGAGTTCCGAGCTAACGAGTAATCAGACCGTACGAGGTTTGCTGGTCGTTCGAGCTTGAGGTACCGGAAGCCAGAGACACAAGGAATTGCAAAGTAGGACTCGCTAGTGGGGACCACGTGGAAGCTGGGAGAACCCGTGCGGAGAAGCTTCGTGTCTTTGGGCACAAAGAGACCATTGAGCTTGCTTGCTGAAGAACCGGGAAACGGAGGAAGTTCTCGGAATGCGGTCGAGAGACAAACAGGGAAACACGTGGAGCTTCGGTCTGTCCTCCTTTATCTCGTTTGCTCTTATCTATGTATCTTTCATCTATTAGTTATCTCGCTCTGCCTACCTGGGTCCATCAAAGAGATCACTGATCGATCGTTAAGTCCCTGTGGATGCTTTGGATACGGACTCTTCGAAAATTAGATCGGAGATTCTCGAGACCGTAGAAAGTTCATTAGGTCGAGTTTTCAAGAGGCGAAATAATATTTCGTTGCACCCCGCGCGGTGGTAGCGACTTCCGGTTTATCGGATAATCGTCACGTGTTTCGATATTATCGATGCGAGTCAGCTGGATTTTCGTAAAGGACGTAAATACAGCATCCCTGGTCCAGAGAGGTAATTGGGGAAGATAAGGAAATCGGGATGAATCAGTGGCTGATTAAATTATTCATTCAGCTGGTAGAGCGTCTTTGGAATTTTTCGTTACTCTTTTTCTACTTCCGTAACCCTCGCTTCCGGTTCTTCTTCTCGACCTTCTTTTTTATACGGTCTTATTATATATTTAACTTATCACCTCGAGTCTTCGATCTTTCGTCTTAGATCCACTTTGGAGTTCGTTTTTCTTTACTTTCTGTCTCTCTCTCTCTTTCTATAGATCCTTCTAGATCTCTCGGCCGCGGCTCTCCGAGTGATTGCTACGGAAATAGAAGATCTCCTCGACGGATAAGACTGATGCCCGACGAGCGCTGATCACCCGTGTGCAAACCGCGATCCAACGAGGATTCATCGACGACGTGAAAACCCAAGGATATCGAAGTGGTCCAGCGAAGATTAATAATCAACTACGGTTAGCTATTAATTCTCCCAGTCGATAGATACATTTGGTTAAATAACACTGATGAAAATCGATCGTTCTAGGTCCAGCGAATTTATCGTATTCCAGATGATATCCGGAAGATCTAATATTTATACAAGAGAATGAGACTGTAAGTGAAACTTGATTGATGCGACCGGCAAATTTTTCTTCGTCAATTTCTATCACCAGTTTCTTTTTTTAATTTGCCCGTTACCACAAAGATCAGAAGAAAAAAGAGCGTACAAGAGACGATTAATTGTAAAGAATAAAAATATTTGTTGAAAAAAAATATTTTTCGTAAAAATTATTTTTCCCAAAATCATAATTTTTTAAGGATAAGTAGGGTGGGGAAAACTAGAAAAAGGAGCATAATGAAATATGAATTTTTTTTTTTTTTTTTCGAAACCTTACAAAAACCGATGGTCAATAGCAATTTCGATTCCACGATACATTCGAACTTGTCGAATCAGTCGTTCCATTTCCCCGTGCGCGACCTCCCTATTGTATTCGTTGGCCAACGCAGTATTTGCCGCGGGCCAATTTTCACGTATTCGACGCGAAAGGTTATTGTGGCGATCGACGTTGGCGTTGACGTTGGCGCTACGCCAGACAAACGAAGGTACTTCGACGTCACTGCGGAACGTTAAACGTTTTTACGAAAGACTCGGAGAAAACGCGGCATTGGTAGATTCCAGGACTGCAGCCAGTCGAGGAGATTTAGGAACGCGAAGTAGCGAGCCAATGGGAGACGTGTAAAGGCGGGCCCCGCAGTCAGGTGACGGGTTAATAATAATGGAGAAAGAGCGAGCGAGCGAGAAACCAAGATGGCAAAGTTGCGTCGCTGCTATGGAAACACGTTAGCAGAACGAGAAAAGCGTTTGGCTCGTAAACGGCAATCGACTTGAAAAATAGATTGAAACAAATTTTCGATCGAAAGTTCATTTCTTGACTACACCTCCAGAAACACTGACAACGTAGAGCGCTATCATTTACGAAAAGTCGATAAATACAGCAAAGACACCTCGGAGCGTCACTTCCGCTAATCCCACGTAATATAGGTCCTCGTGTGCTGCTTCATCCCTGCAAAGTAAACGCAAACAGACCTAACACCGTATAGCACGTAAAGCTTGTACACATGTGAGCATTACGCGCTTCGTACGTCGCGCGAGAGATACATAAGTGCATACAAAGAGTATAGTCACTATGTTCATATATGTTTAATACAATAAAGTCTAATTATGGTAATGGCTGGTAATGGCCGAGTGTTAACCAGTTTTGAATTTTCGCGCCATCTGACTATGGGTGATTTGACGTTGCCGGTAGTGTGTGTGGATTTTAATTTTTTTTTTTTTTTTTTCGTCACTAGGTATTTTCTTTCGTCGTTGAAAAACTAGGAATTTATAATTAAAAAAAAAAATCCTCACAAAAAATTTTCTAACGGGTGGCACGTATTTCGATTTATGACGTAACTGGCTGCACGAGGACGCGTCGCCGGGCATTAGTGCATCATCGGTGAATGCGAGTTTCCAAGAACTGACGAATAGTCAAACTTCGTAGCTGCTGCCTGGCAGCGCCCTCTCATCGCTGTCGCCCTCGTGGAAACTCGTTTCGCCCCGACGTACAGTAACCGTGAGTCATCCCGATCGCTGAGAACTTTTGCAACTACGAAAATTTTACGTGCTCGACGCTCCGCGTCATCTGCGCTGCGAGAGTTTGGCTGTCCGCGCGTCAGTTTACAAGCTGTATGTTTTTGTGTAAAGACGCGAGGATAAGGAAGAGATTTATGAACCGTCCGGAACCACAGTTTTGTTATGGGAAATTAAAGAAAAAGAGTTTCACTGCTTATTGGATTCAAGCTCTGCAAGAAAAGTTAAGGGAGCTTCTTGTATGTTCGTGGAAAGACCAAGAATCTGCAGTGCAACGAACTGAATCGAATGACAATTGGACTGTAAAAATAAATTAAAAATTTGTCGAATCTAAGTAATTTTCCATTTAATTGTCTACGAAGGATTGTAACGGTTAAAGGGTATGGATACCGTAGATATTAACCTTTGCAATCCAAGATAGTAATGAAGCTAATTAAAAAGTAGTTTGAACACTGCCTATAGGTAAGTAAGAAGAAAATTTCAAATAAAGGAGCTCGAACAATCTGCAATATCAAAATTGCATAAAAGTTAGTATATATTGGTAGCGAGTAAAAGAAAGGAAAAAAAGAAACGTATAAGTAAATTAGAAGAAAAGAAATAATTTCTCCTACCAAACAAACGCAAATCCATAGCTGAGTAAATCAAAATCGATAGTCAGACCTGATCAGCTCAGTCAACGAGAAAGACAAATCAAACAACATCAGAATCCCTTAAGCCTTCCCGTAGCGAAATAACAGAGCCCAGAAATGTAACGTTTATACCAGAAAGAAGAAGAAAAAAAAAAGTGACATACGTCTACAAACGATAAAAATCGCCAGTGCGTCTGAGAGCATCAAAGATGAAAGATGAAAAAAAAAAAAAAAAAGTACCGAGCGAACGAGCAAAGGAGACATATAGATGAATGAACGGGAGCACGGAAAAGAGAAGCGAAGAGAAGTGAAACTTGCAACTTTTAACGAGCCAGACGGTTGATCGTCACGGGTCTTTCCAGCAAGTACGAGGATCGAGCGACGCTCAATTTCGAAAGTTGAACCCGTTTTCCCGTCTGCGAATAACATCACGACGGAGTCAGTGTACTCGTCCCAAGTTATAGGAGTCAGCCGACTCGTTCGATTTCAAACTTAACTTTCCTGCCAATATCCGCAGACTATTTAATAGCTCGCCGAAGTCTCGTAGTTGTAAGAGCATCTAGCGGTAGACCGAGCAACTAAAATATCCCGAGAGTACGAGGAACACCGTGGGCGACATCGAAACGTAGCGGCGGCCAGTCGCAACAGTTACGACACGACGGACGCTTCTAACGGTCGTAAGGACGTTTCGATGTCTCGCGTCATCTGCCCAGTGGTTTCATTAGACCAATTATCACGCTGGTTAACCAAACTCGTAGCTGGGCAAAAAGCTCGTTATAACGGTAGCCCGAAGAAACGCGCGTCGAGTGCACCTGGCAAAATTGCATGGGAAAAGTTACATTGCCTTCGTAATGAGCGAAGCTACAGTTGGTAGACGCGTTCCGGCTTTCCGCGGAAATTATTATAACCCCGCGTATATACAAAGTGTCTGTGCTACTAATAAAAACGGTCTTTTTAATTAGATGATCACGGTTAAGAGAATTCTCCAGTAGCTGTCAGCCGCGCGAGTGAGGTTATGTTGGCCGTGAGTACGGCGAGTGCTTGATACAAATTAAAATCTAGAGTGAGACATTTACAAACAATGCATTATTTATTTCATTCGAGTTAAACACGTCGACATTAATTTTTGGAAATGCATACGATTTCCTACGTCTGCTAATTAACCATACGGAACGAACAAGGTTTTAGAATTTCCATCTGTTACCAAATTAGTCAGACCTAGAATGTCTGTTACGCTATGTACATGGGCTTACACGGTAGTAAAATCCGCGCATGCGCAACCCGTGGCCATGCACTATTTGCATAGCAGTCGAAGGATCAAATCCGCAGATAACTTTTTTGCACAATTTGAAACAGCGCAAAGACAAGAAACCAAGATTACACGGGTCCTCGTACCCGAGCAACGGTAGCAATGGCATCGCGATGGTAATTTCGCAAAAGCATCCAAGAGAGCACCCCACGAGGATATAAATTCGGGGAAAGACGGCGGAAACGTAAAAGAGAGCATAAAATCCCGCTCTGAAGGCCGTCTCGCTTGATACAGTCCCAAGGGTTAAGCGCGACGGGCTTTAAAAGATTAAGAAACGTCCAATAGCCGAGTGACAGGTGGAGGAAGAAAATTAAAAAAAAAAATTTCATCCAAAGACTCTGCGAGAGAACCAAAAAAAATGGCGGCCACGTATTTTACAATTGGTAAACCCAGCAGAGACCACGCCGTAAGGGGATGGATGAGTAAAGACCGGAGGGGTAAGAAAAATAAAATATAAATAAAGATACAAGTGGATAATTGAATTACAGAAAGAAGAGCTATGGCGGTGCCTGAACTCTCTTGTGTTCAACCTGGGGGTTGAATTGCGACACAGGGTTCGCATGTGAACGATCCCCCCGAGCAATACACCCTTCACTCGACGTGCAGCTCTCGCGTCGCCTACACCGCCCGAAAATAGACGACTACCACGCTCCATGCATATGCAGCTGAAGGTATATACACACGACACCATTATGCGTCGCTGCCGTATTAAAGCCGGGATCTCTCCTGTGTTTACTTTTCCACTGCCCCCCTTCACCCTGCATTCCAGTCTGGGGCCCCACTGCTCACTCGACTCCCCCCCAGCTCCCCCACAACTCACCAGCCCTTAACCGCTTGCCCTCTATATCTTCTAGCCACCGCCTCCGGCAATTCAGCTTATTTACGTCCGACACATGAAAATTTACTTGGTTCGAATTAGCCGTAATTGTTTGGGTTCTTCTGTTCGGCTGCCTCCGTTGAAAATCCACGAGGCAAACGTACAGAGTCCGAGAAACGTGCAAGGACGACTGAAACATCGTTGATGGCCAGTACGTTTGACTGATAACGATAAAGCTGGGTTATCAGGAATTTTTATCAAAATTACAATTAAAAAAAAAATTTTTTTTTTCCAAACTAACCAGCGTCGTACTTCGTTACGTGCAGTAAGTATGCCTCGATGAAATTTTACGAAAATTTTTATCACCGCGGATGAGCCTTGTAAAGTGAGTTAGAGTAATAACCGTGGATTCTGAATGCAGTTACGGCTATTGGAGTTTACACAGCAATTAGTTATTAAAAAAGTACTTTGGCGAACGTGACGTGGCTAGTAATTCCGTATAAAATCGAAATCCGTATAATTTCATAATGGAACCCATGATAAACTCCGTAACGACGCCAGTACGAAAGGCCACCAGTGGTCACTGAGTAATTACGCCGCGTAAACAACGATACAAATGCAATGAGAATATTAATAAGATTTGTTTAAGTAATCATAGAGAGCGCCACTACCGACTGTGATACCTGCCCGACAGCGCGAACCGACGCGATATAAGCAATGGCAATTTATTAAACGGCAATAGCTCACGGACAATCCCACGTAACGGCAGCAACGACGATAACGATAATAGACACGATTCTTTTCCGAAGGAGCTATCAAACTGTTTCAGCCGCCGTGTCTCGGTTCCTCATACTCGCCGAGTGCTCCCCCTATTAAATACCGCCCATTGTCCCATTTAAGAAGCGTCATTTACCTCTCGACGCGTAGTTCCCATAAGCGCCGCATTCAGGTCGAGCGCTCCACTCGCATTTTCCAGCCGAGCACCGAGAGAACCGAACGGCGCGGTTCCTCCTAATAAACTCCGAGCGAGAAAAAGCGTCCCTTCGTTTTACAAGACATTTACCCCGCTTCCGGAACAACAGACGGAAAGAAGAACGGGAGGGCCTACGTCGGAGACGCCCGGAAACTACGGTAATTCGTAGAACGTGAAAGACCACCGAGTCCCGGTCCCGTCCCGACGGTCGGAACTTCGGGTCCCCGGCAGTTGCACGTAGCGCGACAAGGAAAATACGCGAAGTGAATTTAACGTTAAAAAATTATCGCGAGACAATTTTTGGTAAATTACTGGAAAATCACGTTCTCTTAATATTCATCCCCTATGCATCGGTAATTCGTAGAATTTTTACAAATTTTATAACCATCGTATTCACGCGTTTTCGCATAGTTCGACCACCCTTATCATTCGCCCTCCCCTCACCTAGACTCGCCCAATTTTTTTACCCCATTTTCCTAATCGACCTTCGTCTCTCCCAATTTAGATCTCCGAGAGGCCAACGACAGAGACTATGCATCGGGATGCACCGAAGTAACGGTCGGGTCTGCGTGCGTCAGACAGAGACAAGGAGAACGGACTACAAGGGGTGGGAAGGAACAATACGTTCGACAGAGAGGTACCTCTACGTATGCTCCACATAGAGTTCACCTGGCACGTGACGAGCAACCGAATCGCTCTGGCATCATTGTGAAAGGGTAGAGATGTGACTTAATAGATATACCTATTGTGAAAATTGGAACAGCAGTGCGGAAATCAGTGTACCGTGGGTGCCTGGTGGGATCGGTGGGAAAATTTTAGTGCATCGACAGTGGATAAAATGTTCCACAAAGTGACTTATACCGGGTGTACAAATATTAATCAGCCGATAATACGAACGACAGGTACTTTTTAAGCGCAGCTGCACCTATATGCAACGAAGAAGTGCAATCGATATGAAAATCATACATTTAATAAGATACAGGATTTCTCATTTAAAATTAGACTGCTAAAGTTTTCCAGTACCACCCGATAAGCCGGTAAGTCTTATTAACGTGGATGACAGCGATCGATACGAGAGAGACTTATTGGACGGATGGATAGGAGCGAGAGAGAAAAAAGGGAGCAGAGCACAGGGGAGCGAAAGAGTAAACTGAAAATTCAAGTGCTTCGTTTTAATGCGCTCAAAGTGTTCAAATCGGAGGAGTCACTTTTTAAAAAATTTATAAGAGCCCCAACACTTGCCCGTCAATGCTTATCACTCTTATGAACGTTTAAAAAGTGATTACGGCAAATTAAATACCTAGTGTGTTAATACGAGGCACTTGGATTGCCAGTGAAGTGGTGAATCTCGCATATATCTCTGGGGGGGGAGGGGGGGAATATCTCTGGTCCGGAGGCTGAGGTAAAAATAGCATGTAAATAAATCTGATACAGCATAAACTAACTCGCGTGTCTAATAAATATATTTGGCTTATGAGTGCCTAAAAATATGATATCTCCCGAAAATACATTTTTGTATATATGTGAAAATTCACGTATAAATTTCACATGTGTTTTTTCATTCCCTGTCCAATTATCGCCCAGCGATAACTGAGCGACGTTATTACGCGAATTACGTAAATAGTCAACGCGATTCCCATCAACGAGTATTGATCTTTCGAAATAAGGAAAGAGCGCCACAGTCAATGCCCTTCGGATTTTAATCGAACGCTATTGGAAGACGTGATCGAGGGAAAGGAGACCAAGAGGCGATTACATAACTGGGTCAGGGAGAAAGTGGGTGGGAACAGGGGGTGGAACAAGAGCGTGGGAGAAGCAGGAAGCATAAAATCCCATTTCTATGCGACCATCTTTTCTTTCCTTTAATATTCCTAGTAAAATTGGACCCTCCGATCGTTAAGATAAGTATCTACGTATTGGCGGCGATAACGCTGGGGTCACGGTGGAACTTCATTAGAGGCATTACAATCGCGTAACCGCAGAAATCCGTATCAGCGATTATCATTGGTCGTATCAGCATAGCGAGGCGATCGAAGAACATTTGCGTAATTCAGGGAGTCGATGGTGGCGAACGGGATTGGCGGGAGATTTGAAAATTCGTCAGCCGACTTTTCAAACGTCAAAAATCCCTTGGACAGTCGGTTAGGCCAAAGCGTCGTTCTGGATCGAGCGACAATTAGTGAAGGATGACGTAATAAAATTTTGAAAAATTTTATTTACTGTTAAATCGTTCGCAGAGTGGTCCGTGAAGATGCAATTTGAAAAAATTGAAAAAAAAAATTTTGAATCGATTTTACCTCGAAATATTCATACAATTCTTGTCTGCAATTGTGACGTCTGATTTGAGATACTATACCCGGGTGTTACTAAGTTCTACGGCGGAAAGTATGCCGGGTATATATGCGGAACTCTTAATGAACAGAGCGCCGGGCTAACTACTTGCTAATTAAACAAGGACTAGATTTACATGACTGCAATCCCGAGGAACGTGACGACGTGGAAATTGACGAGACGGTCGGTAGTTTCTCAGTGCGACGACTGCGGGTCGAGAAGTGTCAGTGACGTCAGAGATGGGTTGCAGAGGTGGGCAATTTTTTATTCCTTTTTTTTTTACTACTTCTTTTTTCCTCCTTTCTTTAATTTCTAGTAAACACCTCGAATTTCATGAGGCATAGATTGCACTTTTTTTTCTTTTTTTCTTTTTTTTTTTTTTTTTTTTGAAATACTAAACATCCATTAAATCAAGGATATTTATTTATCAATTACGAGTATCAAATTTACGTAATCACTTCGCCTTACGGCCGTAAAGTCATACTGCATCCTCGTCAACCCTTCAGACTCCATTAGCCCCCCTGCAAGCTCGTTTAAAATAATACTTGGCGTGCCAAAATACACTGTGCGCAAAACGTCAATTCACAATTGAAACCCCCTGTATCAATAAGAAAAGGTCTTATACAATAAGGTCTACGATCGAAATATACAATGACTTTTGACAGCTCGAGGAATGTAATACTTGGCGAATGACGCGTGGTGCCGTATAAAAAAAAAAAAAAAAAAAAAATCTCGAAATATATTCTAAAATAGAAAAATAAAATAATTCATTACAAAACCAGATACGCGGATACCGTATAATAAAATTTCGAGCCTACGTTGTTTACGATCTGTCAAAAAAAAAAAAAAAAAAAAAAAAATCTCGAAATATATTCTAAAATAGAAAAATAAAATAATTCATTACAAAACCAGATACGCGGATACCGTATAATAAAATTTCGAGCCTACGTTGTTTACGATCTGTCAAAAAGAAAAGAAAAAATTGCGTCGATCTCGTGGACGGACGACAGTCGGCCGCAAAGCCCCCAAAACTTTTTGTCGCCGGTTCGAATTTTTTTTTTTTTTCTTTTCTTTTTTTCCTTTCAACGAAACCGAGTACGAAACAGCGATAACATCTTTGCGGTCTAAATCAATCGCCATGGGCGTCGCTCTGAAAAGCGGCCTTAACCACGTTAGCCGTAGTCATAGAAAGAAAAGAAGAATAAAAAAAAAAGGTTTTTCCTCGTAAGAGACGGAAAGAGCCACTATACAGTGCGCGTGTGTATATATATAGATGTATAGATATATAGATATAGATATATATATATATATATATACATCCCATAATATAAAGTAACCGCGTAATTGAGCCCTGAACCAATAACGACGTCTTCGCACGTCGGCGTCGCGACGCATGACGCCTCGAAAATATCAGTACCCACGCTACGGGTATCTCTTTAGGACGGGACGACCGATAATAGAATGAGAAACAATAACGTCGTTCCCCGACGTCTCTCGAGTCGCCTACGGCATCCTCCATACCGGGGATAAGGGTTGGTTCCCATGGGAGCGACAGGAAGTCTGGGCACGAAGTGCACTCCCTTGTAGAACAGCTAAAAGAGTAACCCCCTGCCAGGAACTGAACTCCCCACAAGCATCTACCCTCCCCCCTCTCAATCCCCCCTCCGCTGTTATAAACCCACCAACCACCCACCCAATCCACGTTTTATCCGAACCTCCGTCCCATACAGCGACGGCCTCGTCTTTGCGTTGTGAACTCCCCTTGCGAGTGGAGCCGCACTTTGGACTCCTGGAGCGACCCGCTTATTCCCGGGTAACCCGGATCCTTAAGGAAGATTACGAAACTGTGGAGTTATCGCAATTGCATGTACGTATATATGTATATACCGCGAAAGGACTATATATACGTGTACGGGTACAGCAAAAAGACAAACTAGCCGTCGTTAGCGTGAATATCGACTGAAAAATCTTATTACGAGTTATTAGCTTCCTTTTCATCGTACGACGTCCTCGTCCTCGGGGGCATCGTATAACGTGACCGTAATTTTCGTGAAAATTCATTTTCCTTATCCGCGGAATTAAAATTGTCCCGTTTGGAATTTTATCGTTTAACTCGCCGGTAAACGGGTACGCGGGTATATTGGGTACCTGAAATTTTTATTTAATCTCCGATAACTCCTTTCTTCGATCTCAGGAATGACGATTGCCAGCGCCGTTTTCAATTTTATTACCTGACATGCTTTTATACGTATCTATATACTGTGTCTATATGGGAACGGGTACTGGGATAAGTATGGCTAGTAGCTACGCTCCTGAGTCCGACTGTGAATTCGTTACGGAAGTGTCGGGAAATTATACTCGTAGTAAGTTTAAACAGCAATCTGGGGTGTAAGGACGCGTTAATCCCGCTTCAAGTCGAATGTCTGATTCTACATGAAACTTTCCTACGGCTCTCCAGGTACTAAGTTACTCGCTGGGGAAATACCGGGTGGGCTGTAAAAGTCACGGGATGTCGTCACGTGACAGAAGCTTCAGTCTGGAGGAGATACGGGCATACGAAAATATCACGAGTGAAATGTCAAATTGAAAAAGAAAAATCAAAGGCTTTTATATACGTATATAATTTTCTACGGGAGTAGAAAAAAAAAAACTTACGGCATTTCTTACCGTAAAGATACTATAGCAACGCCAGCTATCGGTGCTTTTTAAAGGGTCATTGGGCTTATATAAGAATGAAAGAAATGAATTAATTTACAGAGGACAAAGGAAAAATTATTTTAAGTCATTCTACGTATCCAGCATCCCCGCTGACTAGTACTTCTGGACCAATTGCGTTTAATGAATCACGGGAATTCGGAGGATCGTCAATGAGCGAAAGTCGAGAGATTATACATATATATAGGAAGTTATCGATCGATCCTATCGCGAGACGTATCGATTGATAATGAGGGTAGGTCAAGATAATCATGAAAATAAAGCTAATTGAATTCCTAGTGAATTCTAATGAGATCCTATTGCTTAGCAGTGGATCTGTATCTGATCGATTTGTATAAAACTATAGATATACAAGTACAGCCAATGAGACTTTTATCCCGTAATACGGGAATAAGTGCGTAACCAAAATTTATCACGGGTGTAGCTTTTGGCACGAGGGACTTGTACCAGCATTTATGGAGGAGTAAAAAAAAAGGTCACTCACCAAAAAATCCTCGTCTTATCAGTTTTCCTTGTCTATCGTTCACGGGTCCAGTTCGTCCTTACTCGAAACTCGAGATCCGTTCGGGCGCCTTGATAATTTCGCACTTGTCACTTTTCGATGCGGATTCATTATTTACTTGGACTCTCGAATGACCGGATACTCGCGCGCGATACCGAATTACCGCGATGCCCGGACCGATTTGCCGTGTTAGGTATTTTCGAAAATTTAGGTTAGGGGTAACAGGTATATAAAGGTATGATATGAAATGGACATAAGGCCCGAGGGCAGGAAGCCTCGGGAAAAGGACGAAGATACAGATAGGAAATAATCGTTAAAATTATTAGAATTGACACGAGACAAGTGAAATGGACCGTTAAGGAGTCTGGGGTGCGTGATGCACGTAACCGACCGAAGTTTCAAGATCTGCAAGAAATTTACGCTTACAGCCTCCCGCCCGCCGCCAGCCTTCGGTCAGGCTAGGTTAGCTCTGAGGAACCAGGCCTGGCCTCCGAAGACGAACCCGGTTAACCGTCGATCAGTCTTTCGGTTGGGGGCTGATTAGAAGTTATACCGGGTGACTGGAAAGAGCCAAGTGGAGTAGCGCAAGTGAACGCAGATTGACGTGACCCTAGAGAAGCCCTGGAGAGCGCAGTAAGGATAAACGTCAACACGTGACTTCGCACCGCTGGAACTTGGCGTATTTCCTGCGGAGCTTGCCGAGTGTTATCGCGAAGAGGGTATAGCCCGGCGAAAGACATTGGGAAGATAGGAAGCGCAAAGAAAGAGAAACAGAATTCGCGAAAAAGTAGATAATCAAGTGAATATGCCTCGGCAGACGGATGAGAAGGAGCGATTAACGAATGACGACAGTGGGGGGTCGAGGGGAGGAAGAAAGGAAGAAGCAAAGGACCCGCGTCCAAGAGCTCAATAAGGGAGATCGGCCGTCGGAAGACTGAAGCCCGTCTCGATTCTTTCGCTTACCAGTCGTTACCCCCTCCAGGTTGAATACCAATCGGCAAGTGCTGCCCCCATGCGTCCTATTTCTCAATTACGATTACTAAAGCCCCTTTGCAAACGGCCTGAGGCATCGTTCACGCTCCCTGTATCATTCTTGCCTTCCTTGTGGCACAAGTATCGGCAGAATTAACTTCCTCGTCTACCTCCTCTGGTAATGCAAATAGGATATCTGGGCACGTGTCTTGCGTCACTTACGCGCATTCCCGCGCGCCAACTCTACATCCCAGCTGGGTCTTGACTCAATTTTGTTAATTCGTTTTCGCGATTTGTCCCTAGTATGGGATTATCTTGTTTACTATACTTTTAGATGTATTTTTGAATTATCAATTACAGATCCACTGTATACCGAGTTTGCGTTCGGTATATGGGGCTATTTAATTAATTTAATTAATTCCATCAATTCAAGGGGACTATGTATACTGGCAGCGAAAGGAACGTTTCTTCGCAATGTTGAATTCAACGGTGAACTTTCGTCCGACGTCAAACTAATTAACGATCTTGTCGCACCTGGCCAACAAAAGGTAAAAGAAAATTACGAGTTTACGTAATGTTCATGGTAATTTAAGGAAATTAGAATTTTACGACTCTCCAATCGATCGAATTTTAACAATTCGAATCTACCCTTTGACACGACTTGTACTTTGTACTCATATATTATGTGTATGTGCATCCGTGCATGTATCGCCGAATTAATTTTAGGAAGTCCGTGAGTTTGAAGGAAAAATTTATGAAAATTGCACAAGTTATTTATAACAAAACAAATATATAAAACGAGTTCATATAATTTTGTCTTTTTGTACCGTCCACTTTTTTTTTCGAATTTAATAATTTTCCTCTTTTTTTATCTGTCACGTTTCTCCCCGTCACAAGTTTCACACCCCCTATCTCACTTCCGCTTTTACATAGTTCCGCCAATTTCCAGCCCCTTATCGAACTTCCAAACTTCTCTTCCTATGCGTATATACACACGTGTGTACATACTCAGTTTCTCCGGAACTTCCGACGATGCCAGGTTTTTTTTTTTTTTTTTCAAAATCGCTAACTTCCGTTTCCGATCTGCTCGAGTAATCTATATCGAAAAAATATTCGCCCTTGAAAATTTTTCAATCAACACCTTTTCCACTTTCCCACCTAATCGTACGCAATTAATAAAAGCGCTGACCCATTACCACGTGGTCTGTACGCAATGACGCAAAGTGCACGAAAAAAATACCGATTACGTGTCCTTGCGTAATCTTTCCACGTAATAAAAAATTAACTCAATCGAAGCCACCAGAACGATTATTAGCCGACCTTCCGTTTCCCCCAATTCTACGTCAGTCAATTACGACACTCGACGAACATTCGTCCCCGACGTGTCAGGATATTTCATCGATATCCAAACACTTGACACGTTCCTTCAGTTTTATCCGTAAAAACGTTTCACTGGCCCCCTAACCACCCTCTCAACTTTTCCCTGTGACCCCTGACCCCCCTGATACCCCTCCACTCGATAAATACGTCGACGGCTTAAATAAACAGTCGTCGTTGCTGCTCACTCAAACTGTGCGAAACCGGTTTGAAAATTTCACGCAACTACCGAAGTCCGATTACGAAAGTCAAAAGAGAAATTAAACTATATATTTGTACATTAAAAAAAAATTTTACCTATCCTATTTTCATAATACATTAGGAAATATATTATAATTATCAAATATCAATATATCAGTACAGGTAAATTATACTTTTTCGATATATCGTACAGGCTCGTTATCGATAATCAAAATTTAATGCATCGATCAAAAGCTAATTATTGTCGAATCGGTATCACTGGTCCAGCACACTGACTGACGTATGACTGATCCCAATGACCGGTTCTTCGGCTGATTTCAATAGCAGATCAGAGACAGTATTAGGAAATCATTGTAACACAGCATCTTTAATCTTTTCATCTGTTCCACTTTCTATTGTTATCTCATCGTGATTATTCTCCTTAATCGTCGTTTGGTTCGAATCCACCAGGTAAAATGCGAAATGCTGATTATAATTTTTAATTTTTCTCTTTATTGCATCCTTTCGCTTTAATAATACGAAAAAGTCTAATGGACCAGATTCTTGTGCTAATTAGCTAATATTTTTAGTACCGTTAAAGGAATTTATTCAATGGCTACTTTAATTAGCTATTATATCAGGGGTCGTGCAGTAGGGTCATGGCAGAAGCGATATCGATAGGATTCCAATTGCTAACTATGTAATGTATGTATATATATTGCTTTTAAATTAATAGGGATATTCCAGCCAATCGATCGATCTGAATTCAAAGTCAGATTCAAAATTTCCGTTGATTTGATCGTTGATCGAGTATTCGACCTCGACTAATTTTTTTTCTTTTTTCTTTTTTCTTTTTTTTTTTTTTCTTTGGGATTTTCTTATTTTTACCACTACTATCGCTATGCTAATTCCCGCTGCTGCAATCAGCACTGTTACTGCACTACTTTGAAATGCACGTAGCACTCGGAGAAGCAATTACATTAAGCTGTACATTTTGCTTCGTTGAGAATTCACTTTGTTAACATTATAATTCTTTTATCGTCGCTGCCGTGTATATTCTGCATAATGAAATCGATCGTCAATTAACAATTATCGATATAATTGATTTATTAGCCGCCATTAGATTTACGTCATTTACATTTTTCTTAACAACTTTGCTCTTGTGTATACCTACCTTTTGTTTTTACTGTTCAATTAATTTCCCTGCAGTCTACCTCGAATATTCTAGTATCTCGTATTGTCTTCGGCTCTTGGGGCTCCGGTCATTCTCTTTACGACTGTTATATATTTTACACCCGGTATATATTTCATACCCGGTATATGAAATCTAATTCAAACAGTAAGAGCAAGCAATAAGAGTTTCGCGCTGCTTTGTCTCGTAGGTATATTATTCATTTGAGTTTGAAAAGAAAAATCGTTCTATATTTTATTCGAAAATACCAAGCTATCATTAAAGTTGTTTTTTTTGAAAATTGCAAATTTACCAGTTTTCTACCCAAAGTGAGTTTAGAAAATATTATCTAATAAAGCCAACGTCCAAACTTCTCTTTTTACGACGTCCCTAATCTATTAATCTCGCACGGCGTCCCGACGTCTCCAGAGATCAAAAATTTGCGATTGATATTAAGCAACAAATAAATTCTTGGAAGTCTGAGATACTTTCGGGAGGGTGGGGGAGACGCTTAGAGATGAACCCGGTCACCGGGGATTGTGAGTGCTGCTTGTCAAGAGGATGCTGCAAGGAGCCCGATGGAGTCTTGAGGATTTCTCAAGCGAGTTTGATTCATGAGACAGCGACTCGGAATACAAACGATGATTTACGAGAAGTTTAAAACCTCTTTGGTACATCCGTAACCATTGGATGCTGCGAGAACCCCTCTGGCTTCTCTTGGGCTGAAACCCACTCGGTTCTACTCGGCAGCTGACTTCATCTTACATCTGAATATTATTCTCTTTTATTTTATATATACAGTCATCCTTACACGTACTTTACACCCTGCCACTCCATTTTGATTTTTTATTTACACATTTTTAATGCTTTTGTATATTTTGAAACAATTTTTTTTTTTTAAATTATTCAAACAATCAAAGCACTATCGAACTAGATGGTGTCAAAACTCATTTTCCAATTTAATGGACCAACCAAATTTGAAAATTGAATAAAAAATTTTGATTTTGAAAATCAAAAAAAAAAGTTTTACCGTTAATCTCCAAATTTTCTTGAGAATACAATAAAATTATATTTTACATAAAACTGACGTTAAAGGTCACATCCTTCGTGCGTCTAATCTAAATCCTCAAATTAAATCCAAATATCAATTAAAGTCTAGAAATTCAAAGCTACACCCAACCCATAAAATTCAGCCTGAAGATAAAACCAATTCGAAGCAAGCGTCAGAAAGTATTCTCTTGAAACCAGAGAATGTAATTAAAAAAGTAATCCGATTGCCAAAAACTCGAAATAATTCGGTATAAAATTTCTCAAAAGAAGCCTGATATCACCGTCGATCAATCGAGGGAACGTAAGATCGACCTCGGGACTGTTTCTCGAGAATCCTCGCAAGTGGAACGAGGTTGAATCCTAAACACAGTAGTGCAGCAGAATTGCGACCATAAAATAAATAAAAGCCTTGACAAGACGTATACGTATGCAATTAGAAATTAGGCTTAAAATAAAAGTGATCGATTAAACCCATTTTAGGAATACGTGATAATAATAAATCCCGTTAATTATTTAATTGTCGATATTAAACTACCCGCAATCCCAAATACTTATGATTATTATATCTCTATACCCTATACAGGGTAACTCCGAAATTAAATGTACAGATGAAAGAACTGAGTAGGTACTTATTAAAAAAAAATTCTTTACCACACAAACCAATTGATACTCAAAAAGTCGAGGTAATCTCTTTGAAAAATGAAAATGGATTATTAAAATAATAAGATTATAAGAATATAAAAAGTTTCAATGATACAAAACTTTGTACTATGAAATTTCTTGGCTACCGACTATGACTCGTAGCGAGTATCGCAAGCAGTACGAATGCATTGTACTAATTGAATGGGACAAAAGTCCCGTGGGAAATCCCAAGCGAAAATTTCCATAACGTAAACTGTGAACAATTGTCAAAAGATACGAATGCGTCTGCGCAGTTACGTGACTGAGTAACTACGTATTTTCGGAAAGTGACGTAATTGCCAGATTCGAAAAAAGCAATCGGTCCGACCGGACAAAATTAAACACGTGGCTCTTACCCGTAGATGCGTTTAAAAAGGAGGCTGTTAATTTTTTTCATTCGAAATCTAAATTCTTCAGGACTCACCGGAAGTGGATGTTACCCGAGTAAAGTGAACTCACCTGGAATGAGAAAAAGGTCAAAATTAATTAA